TAAAATTAAAAATTCTGTCAATTAACTTGTTGAATATACATTCTAAACCATGTTAAGTCACCTTAATGTATGTCATCAACTGCTATCTTCCATAAGGGGGAAAGAAATATTAATTTCTTTCAAAATCTATAAAATTTGAATTACAATTTCCCCAGTAATTTTACAGATAAAAACTAGAGCCCAAAGCAGAATTATATTCTATTGTAAAAATGTCATTCTTCATAGCCAAATATAGTTATACTTACATAAATACATCTCCACAGATTTCTATCACTGTTGAAATATATACAGAGAAGGCTGCAGAAATTCACTTTTTTTCTAAGGCAGCATGATAAATAAAAAACTTTGGACTCCGCATTCTATGCCTTGGACTCTTGTCCACATTATATCCCTGTAATCTTGTGATTGCAAGCAAATTACTTTTTCAAACTAGGCCTCAGTTGCCTCTAAAATTATATAAAATGAGGGGACTGGTTTAGTTGGTATCTTTTAATTCTAAAATGTGATGACTCTAGTGATTTTAGATCCAGACATTAAGCAGCTAATTACAATATATTTTATTTCAGTTTTGTATATGTTTAAAGTTCAGATGTTTTCCACATATCTATGTATGAACATCACAATGAAACAGAAGTCTAATGGCACCATAGTTGGTTTCTATCAATACATCACCATGCGTTTGTGTGCATGTGGAAAGAGAGAAAGTTACTTTGCAATATAGACCATGTGCACACTTTTCCACATATGACACAGGAAGATAAAAAGAAAAAATGATTTCACTATATTCATCCTGCTGCATGATTTACTTAAAATCTTTATATGGACTTTGTGGTCTTAAGTCTTAAATCATTAATCGACTTAGGGTAAGTTTGGGATAAGGTTCAAACTGTCATACCTGGACTTCCATAAAAACTTGCATATTCATTGCAAATCAAATCAGTGGATGACCCTTTCCTTGTTTCATAACTATCCAGAGATCCAGGTAATGCTGCTTTAGTAGATTCCTCCTGACTAAAGACCTAGTCTAACTTTCATCAGCTATTAGCCTCTTCCCTATGCTATCAGGCCAAATTTAACAGAAATCCCACAATATGCAGATTCATTGTGCCTCTGGAAAGTCTTCTTGGTTATAGACAGGAGAATCATATTATAGAAACTATGCTTATAAAACTAAAACTGGAAGCTGTGGTTGGCATCACCATGTAGATGCATTTCCACTATAATATGTATGGTGTAATATACATTCACAAATAAATTGATATTTCGTTTTCTCAGCGCCTAGAACTCTAATAGATGATGGCAAGTCATCCATTTGCTTCCAGAATTGAAGTAATTTAAAAAAATAATTTCTGCCATATTTTTCTCTAAGTATATAATGAATATATTGAACACAATTTGATCAATTAAAGAGGTCATTATTCAGACTACATTCAGCAGTTCCTTACACAAGGGAAACTCACCAGAGTTAATATGAATTTTTCTTGAGTATTTCAGGATCAGCTACAAATGGATTTTTAAATTAATGTTTATTCAAGCTGTATTCTCTATACTCTTGCCAAAAATAAAGTACCTTACTTTCCATTTACTAAATACAATAAAATTTTTACTTGCGAGTACATTATCTAAATAAGAGCATAGCAAGGATAAACTCAACAGGACTTGAAAATAATAAGCGAAGTGGTAACTATAGTTTTATATTGCCTATTCATCTTTCAGAATTATACTAATTTTTTAAAGAAAATTGAAAAATAGTTAACACATCATAAAACGCTGGAGATTTAAAAATAAATAGAAAAATAGGATACTTCTGCCTTTACTTTACAAATCAAAAGCACAACTGTACTTCTAGGTCACGAAACTTGAACAACCACCAATAGCAGGTTTACCAAGCAAAGAAGAATGAAATGGAAAGGTGGACATACTCTCAATAATGCTGTCAAGGATCCACATTTTGCTCGACTAGACACATTATTTAGTTGAGTGCAAAGCCTTTTCACTGAACTGCAAAGATCTGAACTAAGAAAACCAGGGTTACGTCATCAGTTTTCCTAATGTGTGGATTTCAGAAATAATTCCAGCAACTCTGCAACACACATCTTCTAGATTCTGCCAAAAAGTAATATAGAAGCTTGATTTGAATGTCTCTAGAGCCTATGAAAACAAACCAAAATGAGGCATATGTGTGTGTGGGGGGGAGCATTATTTACAAACTTTTATTTCTACAAAGCTGTCTAATTGTTATAATGTAACCATTAACAGGACTTAGCAGCAACATTTTAAAACGTCTAATTCTCATGAAGGCAAGACACTGTAATAGACATCACTTCCATTATATCCCAGATAAAGAACTATGACAAGGCAATTCAGAAAAATTATAAATAAAATGAAGGGGCTTTATGTCAGATGAAATCTCAAATTTTTAATTAATCCCTACCATAAGGAATTAAAAGAAGGCAACCCGCAGGTTTTCCTTAGACAAATTCAGTATCAAAGGGAATAAATTATAACAAAACCACGTGGGTTGGTTTTTTGTGGGGTTTTTTGGACAGGTTTAATTTAAAAATATATATTTTGACAGTATGGAAAAACTAAAGGTAATATCTTTTTTTAAATAAAAATAGAAAATCATCTACTTATGGTACAAAAAAATCAGAACAAAAAAGATCCTGTTTATTATGTCAGATGTCTAAACCAAATGTAACTTTGTAAATGGATCCCTTGTGCCCTGACAGCAATACTGAGGAGATGAAGGGTATCAGTTACTATTACTGATTACATTAAGGGGAATGTGTTTCATTCACCTTTATTTCATTTTAGGGAAGCTATTTATTGTGGTTAAAACCTTATACATCTTTTGAATATCCAACGACATACAAGTTTTCCAAAGTCACTTTTGGTAAACTGCATGATTTATTCCAATGTCTTTGTAGGTTTTCTCTTCTGGTATATGGATTTCTTTGCTCGGTTAAGAGACCAACACCATACATTAGTTTATTTATAAGCATATCACTTTGCCTTTTAAGCAGGATGCCACAACAGTTTTGATATTGGCTGTTTTAAATATTCAAGAATACAGAGCTAACACCATTTGATGAGCCAAATAAAGCTTAAGAGTCAGCACAGAACATATGAGGTGATTGCATAAAATATCTATAAATCTACCACTTGATATGTCCCCTCAAAATTTTAAGATTACACAATTTAGAATGCAAATGCCAGTCAGCCACAGGACAAAAAGTCCCATTAGGATGACAGCTGAGAAGTAAATATTCTGCAGAACTCTCTTTTCGCATGCTTTTGCATTACAAATCACCATTTTTTAGGGAAATTTCTACAGATCTCAATTTATTTGTGGATGTTTATAAGTAACCTTATAAAAGTGCTGTTATTTTAGCTGGAATCATCCTTGTTTACAAAACTGATAAAAGCACCAAAAACAAAACAAAAGTCAGCTTCTAACCGAAGGTAAAGCAATAACACAACAGATACAAACTCTCCACTAGTCAAATTTCAGTTTAGCAGAAATCAATAACTCAGGCTCACGGGCATCAAAAGACACATTTACAAAAGCCATTTAGTACAATGTAGTTCAAACCCGTGTTCTCGTGGACTGTTTTGAGTATTGGATATAAAAGCATGTTAAGTCTGTTTCTTCTTATACAAATAGCTGGAGTAAAGTACAATATATAGAAAATATTTCTTGAGGAAAATAATTTTTAAAATTATGAAGGCAATAAGGAATTAATGTCTTTCCTATAATATCTCTAATGAGCCCACCAATAACATCTTTAATGAGGCTATAAAATAACTTTTTCCTTTGCCTTAATTCTTCTCAGATCACACATTCCACATGCAAAGCACACTTAATACAAAAACAATTCTTCAATGTTACTTGACATAAATGTGTTTCTTTAGATGAGCTCTGGAGGTAAGAAATATATAATTTACTAGAGTTATTAGTGGAGTTGCTATAGTATTAGACACAGCAGTTTCCAAAAGGTTTTTTTTGTTGTGTGCACAACTTTGGTGGATGGAAAAGTAGACTTTGTGAGTATTACATATATCACACACAAGCAAAACTTTCAAAAATAAATTTTATATTTTCTGCAGTTGACTTCAAAATACACCATTTTCTTTTTACTATTTCCACATTTCAACAAGAAACAACTATGTCAAATACTCCATATAACCTTTATATTCTCAGTATATCACAATGGATACCAAAATACTCTTGCACACAGTGCATTAAGCATGAACATTTTTGTTGCTTAGCTTAAATAATGAATGGTTCATGCAATATACTTTTGTTTATAAACTCTTAATACCAAACACAAAAAGTGCAGAAGACGATTTCATATCCTCATAGAAGCCAAATTCTTAGAGATAGCGAAGTATTAAAAATGTAGTTTTGCATAAATTTGCATATCACAAATATTTTTAAACCAGCATTTTTGTCAAAGTAGTCAATATTTCAATATCTCATACACGGTACTACATTTGCATGAATCAGTGTTTGCTTATCTGCAAAATCCTGCGTAATATATAACATAGTTAAAAGTTTTATAGTGTCCAATTTGCACAGATACCACAGTAACTTACAAATTTCCTCTCTGTATACAATTATCCACTTAGTAGCCACAAAAGAAAATAATTTCAAGTTAAAGGTAACCATTCAAACAATATATACATATTTATTCTGGAAACAGAAAATGTAGGATGAATTAGGGCTGTCAAATACAAAGAGAAGTGCAAAACAACGCCTACTTTGAATATTTTCTTTCGTAGTTTAGTAAACATTGGTCTAACTTGCAAAATACAGTGGTGCACCTTGTGTAGATGGCCTCTATTAAATTAATGGTGTATGAATTAACACTAAATTCCTGCTATTAACTTTTCAAATAATAGCTTTAAAAGTGAGAAGACAAAACTTTATAGAAGATGCTCTGTCTCCTAGTTAGCAGCCCTCCTAGGATATTAAATATATTTGGGATGCATCTTACCTGTTTGCTGTACTTGTTATTGGTTTGACAGCTGTACTCAGAGCAGTGATCTGATCCAATTGAAATGTTGTCTCCTGCTCCCACAAATGTGTTGGCTGGTGGTAGATCTTGTACGGCCTGGTGTTTTTTTCCTGCAGTTGGTGATTGGGGGTGAAGCTGGACAGTAGGCAATGGGGAACTAGATTTGTAATGCCTGGCCAGGTCAGGACTGCCAGGCCCACCGTTAACCGATCGGTATCGCCCCATGCTCGGGCTGTCTGACAGCTTCTCATTGACACTATCATACCTCTGTCCATTTGGTTTAGAAGCTTCTACAGTGACAATGCTGCTGTAGAGGGGCTGCTTAGATTTTTTGTTTTTCTTGTCCTTTTTAGGCTTTTTAGATTTGTCATGCTGTTGGGGTGTAAAAAAGTCTTCGTGATCTTTTTTGCCAGCTTCGTAGCCATTTTTATTTTTGGACCGGCAGTACCTTGCCATCACCACAATTAAGATGATTAGAATCACTGTCATAATTCCAGCAACAACCCCAATGACAATACTGAGTCTCTGTTTGCTAATTTCGTAGCTTGGGTCACCAGCTATATCCTGGGTGAGTGGGGTGTGCAAACTTCTAGCTATCTGAGAGTCAATCACAGTTGCATTAGAAACACTTTCATTGACAAACACATGCACCAGAGTCGTGGTGGACTGGGAAGGCTGCCCACTGTCATTCACTTGCACCACCAACCTGTGCAAGCCATAATGCTTATGGGTGAGTTTTCCCACTAAGGAAACCACACCACTGGTGGAATCAATCTCAAACAGCTTGAAGGGATTCCCTCCCACAATGCTGTAGTTAAGGTCTGCATTGATGCCATCATCACTGTCTGTTGCCAACACTGTAGCTACTACTGTCCTGACATTACTTGAAGGTGGCAGTAAAGTGTAGGAAATGTTTCTGGGAAGGGTAACTGTAGGAGCATTGTCATTCTCATCCATCACAAAGAGAGAGACTGTGGCTGTGGCAGATCTGGGAGGATCTCCCCCGTCCACAGCCTTGACTCTGAATGTATATGTGGTCTGATGTTCCCGGTCAAAAGACATCGTGGAGTAAATGGTCCCTGTGTCATTTTCAATAGAAAAAATGTTACTGTTCTCCTCTATGTACAGGCTCATCTCCGCATTGCGCCCCTTGTCAGCATCCATCACCGTCACCATCCCCACCGGGCTGTTGGGCTGCAAGTTCTCTTTCACATAAAAGGTAAAGACGTCCTGCATAAACTTAGGGTCGTTGTCATTCTTGTCAGCCACCTGCACAATCACCGTGGTGCTGCCCTGCAGCACAGGGATGCCTTTGTCTTTGGCATTAACTTTAAACTCATACCTGTCAGTCTGCTCGCGGTCCAGCACCGTATTGACGAGGATGTCCCCAGAATCGGGATCAATGGCAAAGATCCCCATCACAGAGGACTCCAGCGAGTAGGCAATCTCCGCATTCTTCCCGCTGTCAGCGTCTGTCGCCAGCACGGTGGCCACCCTTTCGCCAGGAATGTTGTTCTCGGGAAAGTAAACCTCCACCACTGACTGGCCAAAGACGGGAGGGTTGTCGTTAGTGTCTCCCACCTTCACAACCAGAGAGTTGTTGCTGGAGAGGCTGGGGCTGCCCGAGTCCACTGCCACTATGACCACGTTGAACTCCCGGGTGGTCTCATAGTCCAGAGGGGCCGAGGTGTGCAGGAAGTACTTTTTCTTGTTCTGGTCGCCCTCTGTGTCGCTGGCTGGCTTGAGCTGGAAAGGCACGTCGCCCACCACGGTGCAGGTGACCACCCCGTTCTCGCCTTGGTCTCGGTCTGACACCTGCACCAGGGCGATGGGAGTGTCGACCAGAACGTCCTCGGCCACGCTGGCCACCCCATCCTTGAGCGGGATACGCCCGATCTTGCGGATTTCAATGGATGGCACGTTGTCGTTCTCGTCCTTGATGTTGAGGACCACGGTGGCCTTGTCGGTCTTGGGGGGCTGCCCGCGATCGCGGGCCATGACCGTGAAGCGCAGCTGGTTCACCTCCTCGCGGTCGATACGGTGCAGGACACTGAGCCAGCCTGACGTCTCGTCGAGGCGCAGCAGCCGCCGCACTGACTCGGTAGCCGCCCCGAACACGTACTCGATCTGCCCGTTGACCCCCACGTCCAAGTCGGCGGCACGCAGCTGCAGGATGGGGGTCCCAGGGGCGCTGTTCTCGGCCAGGTCCGCCTCGTACACGCTCTTCTCGAAGCGGGGGCTGTTGTCGTTCACGTCGGTGATGAGCACCCGCAGGATAGCCTGAGAGGAGCGAGGCGGGTCGCCCCCGTCGCGCACCCGCAGGGTCAGCTCATAGGAGTCGCGCTGCTCGCGGTCCAGCGCCCCCTTCACGATCAGCTGCGGCTGCTTCTCGCCATCCGGGGTGTCGGCCACCTGCAGTTCGAACACGCTGCTGCGGCCCCCGGGGTTCGCCCCGCCACCGCCCTCTGGCGCGTCCAGCCGCCTCTTAGAACCCCCGGGGCCGCCGCCGCTCGCGCCGTTCCCGCCGCCCCCGGGGTAGGGGGCGCTGTCGGCAGCCCCGGCGCGCCGGCCCTCGCCGCCGCCGCCGCCGCCGCCGCCCCCGGGCTCCTGGAGCAGCTCGTAGCGCTCGATGCCGTTGCGGCCGAAGTCACGGTCGGTGGCGGTGGGCAGCAGGTAGAGAGTGCCCACCGGCCGGTTCTCCTCCACCGTGAGCGTGAGCACCGGCGACGGGAAGGTGGGCGTGTTGTCGTTGATGTCGAGCACGATGACCCGACCCTCGAACAGGTCCACCCAGCTCTGCGAGGGCCCGATCACCGACACCTCGAAGTCCAGGAAGCACTCGTTCTCGTCGAAGATCATCTGACACTGGGGCAGCTTCTCGCGGTCGATGCGCCGCTCGCTCGTGCTCAGCTCGCCCGTGAGGTTGTCGATCTTCAGGTACTCGGAGCCCGACTCGAGGCTGAAAGTCACCTCACCCGAGCCGGTCACGATGCCTAAGTCGGAGGCGACGTTGCCGATGCGAACGTCTGCTGGGCCCTCCTCGGCCAGTCGGTACCGGAGGAGTTGCTTGGCGGCCGCCAGGCTGAGCGACAGCGGCAAGAGGAGACAGCAGCCCAGGCACCAGCCGCGCGCCCATCCCATGGTCCGCATCCTCAGCATCTTCTCTTGCTGCTGCTGCTATTGCTCCTTCTAATCACAGCCCCCTCGGCGCCCCCCTCCTCCGGGGCCGGCCGCCTGCCCTCCTCCCAGTCCTCTCCCCTCTCCGGGAAAGGAAGAAGCGATAGGGAGAGGTGGGAGGGGGCAAGAGCAGCGTGCAGAGTCGGCAAAGGGAAACCAGCGATAGATCCTTCTTTTTTTTTTTCCTCCTGCTTCTTCCGAAAGTTATTGTTTCATAATTCATGCAATGGGTGCTAATCGCCCGCTCGCCGGCCGCCGTTCAGTCGCAGTACTCACAGTTCACGGGACACTGCGCGCCGCGGGCTCGGCGCCCCCCCAGAGTCATCCCCGCAGCGGGCGGAGGATCCCGGGCTCCTGGCCCCGCTCTGTCGGATGGGGCCGGAACCGCTCCGGCAGGCGGGCGGTGGAGCCGGGAAGCGGCGGGGAGCGAGCCGGCAGCCTCCCCCGCCTGCCAACCCCGCTGGTCTTTGCTGCTACTGGAGTTGACTCCAATTCACGTTCCAGCCACTCACTCCAGAACCAGCTTCTGCTCCGGCTGCCCAGGCAAACGTGAGTCGCTTCCTGCACGAGGCGCCGGGGCCAGCAACAAGCCAGTCTCAACTCCGACTCCGCTCAGGCAGCGGGGGAGCCAGTCAACAGATCGAGAATGAAAAATCTCCGGCAGGTCGCTTCGGGCACCGTGCCGTGGAGAACAGTCGCGTCACAGAGCGGTCCGCGTCCGGGTAACCCCCGCGCGCCGAAGAGCAGCCCGAGCCATCTTCAGAGACGCCCAGAGAGTCAGTCCCTTCTCACCCCCGAGAGCTCGGGTTTCTCTTTTTTCTTAACAACTCTGCGCAAGGTCATTAGTCACGAAGCCGCCGCCTGAAACCGCAGCAGCCGTTCGCCCGCGGGGGCGAAGGCTGAGCCGTGCGCACCGCGCGGTGCCTAAGTTTGGGTTCGCCGCCGCAGAGTCCGTGCCTTTCCTCACCTGCATTCGGCCCGCATGTCGGAGCACTGGGATCTGCAGCGCTGTGCGCGATTCAGGGAGGAGATTGCAGCCTCTCTCTCTCTCCGTTCTCTCTCGATCCCTCCCCTCCCTCCCTCTCTCTCCTCCCTCCTCCTCCTCTCTCCTCCCTCCTCTCCTTTCCCCTTTCCCCTTCTCCCACTCTCTCTCCTGCACGTTCCCTCTCCTTCACTCCCAGTCCCAATGCTGGCAACTCGAGCTGAACTTGATCCCTTTGCAGTTCAAAGGTGAGCAAAACAGGCTCGGTGCGCAGGCGACGTTGGCCTGGCGAAAGCCCCCGGCCGGGCTCCCTGAACGGCAATTAACAAAGATGCCCAATTCTGTCCGGATTTCCGAAGAAAAGCCAAAGGCATTGGGGAGGAGGGTGGAGGGGGAGGTGGAGTCAGAGACAGCTGCCAAGTAGCTTAAAAAAAAAAATCCAGTTTGCCAAGGGGAGAAAAAGTGCCAGTCGGTTGTTGCCTCGGAAGTGCCCTGGCACGGCGGGTGAATTCCGCAGTTGTCTCGTCCCCTTTCGCGTCTGGGAGACTCTGGCGCGGGTGCTCCTGCCGCCCCTTGGGCTGTCACGGCTCGAAGACACTGAATGGCAAGTGGGAAGCGCCCGCTCGCTAGCTGCAAGCCGGAAACCCGCAAGTTTGCCCAAAGTGGTGGTTGCTGCTGGGAGCTCGGTGGCTCGCTCGCGGCTCAAGCTTGTCCCTGAAGCTGCTGTGGCGGCGGCAGCGGCGGCGTTAGCAGCCGAGGCGCGGAAACTACACACTCGCAGAGGAGGAGGGAGAAGTGCCGGGGGGAGGGAGACAGGAGGGAGTACTAGTCAGCCGCCGCGCTCCGGAGAGCCCAGCTTCAGCCCCGGGGCCCATTCCGAGTATGCACAATCCCAGGCAGTCCCCCTTAAGCCAAAGCCTGCCCCCCACCTTCCCCGGCGAGTGCAGCCGCTTTCTCCTCCCGGGGGAGGGGGGGGCGGGGGAAGGGCTTGCATGTCCTCCCGGGGGCTGGTGAATTGCCTCTTGCTCCGACTATTGCGGAGTGAGTGTGTGAGAGCGTTGGAGCGGGGGTCAGGAAATGTTTCTCCTTCTGCTTCTCCCCCTTCTCACACCGTGTTCCCCACCCCCTGGTGTCTCCTGTTGGCAATTTATCGTCTTGGTTAGGGCATGATTACCGGTGTGGCTTGGGGGACCCCGCGTGCGCCCAGGGAGCCACGCTGATGTTCTGAGAAACCGTGATGGGCTGCAGTGGTTAAGAGAGAACATCAAACTCCAGAAGGAGTGAAAGAGGGATCCTTTTTTGGGAGCAGAGACTTCGGAGGACTGGGGGTGGGGGGGCCTATCTTTGTTTAAATGCTTGGCATTCCTGTCATCGTGCTTGCTTACGGGGGTAGACCGGGTGTGTGAGCGCGCCTGGGGAATAAACACATGTTGGAAGCCTCGATATTATTTTCTGAGCAGAAACCTGCAGCCTTTAGTAACTGGCAAAGTGTAGCGTCACCTATCTGGATAAAAGGGAAATAAACTTTAATGGCAACTTTGTGTACCGAAGTGTCCCTAGCTCCTTTTCTCTCCTTCTTTTGACTTTGTGCCACTCAATCGTACATGGTATTCCCCAACGCGAGGCTTTCCCAGCTTTCAATCACGGCCACCGCAGCCCGCCTCGTCAGATTTCAGTTCTGGTTGTGTTTTCTGAATTGTAGCCATCGACTCTTCATTTATTTCAGCGGCTGTTAAACAAGGGGGCCTCGCCAGGATTAAGGGGGTTGCGGCGGGCAGGAGCTATTTGGGGAGAATTCTTACCATCTCAAAAGAGAAAAGGGGCTGCTGCTGGGATTTGGGTGGTTCTCAGCTCGTCTGCCCAATCTACAGGCATGAAGGGGCCTCCTCCTAAAGGGAAATTTAAAGCGAAAAGAAGAAAAAAGAAAGAAATCTGTCCAGAGTGGGTACTCTGCCTTTACGAGACCTATGTGAGGAGGCAGAACGATTTAAACAAGACAAACACCAATAAAGTCTACGAGCAGATGTAGCGCGCGGTTGTTGAGGCGGGCGCAGCCAGCAGGAATAGGGGGGAGAGGCGGCCGAGATTTCCAAGCTCTCCTTATGGGGGATCGTAGAGGCGCGGAGGGTGAAAGTGTGCGTGGTACGTGCCAGAGAGCTGGCGACTATTTCCCAGTCTGCTAAAGCAACGGCACTCCGGGGGTAGCGGCGCCTCCTCCGGGGCCAGGCTGGGAATCCGGCCTTCCCCTCAACCCCGCCCCCCCTCCACCGCCGCCGCGGTCGCTGCCACCCGAGCCGCTCGGCTCTATATCTGCAGCATCAGCGAGAAAAGCTCCGCGCGCAGACTCAGTGCGCACCGCCGCAGTCTGGAGACGGGGGGCGGGGGCGGACGCCGCAGCGCCTTTGCGGCCGGCTAAGTGGCAGTAACACCAAATCCCCCTTGAATTTGGCAAACTCTGGTTTATCAGAATGCCTCCCTCCCTCCGACACCCGATTCCCTTTTTAGCAGGGTCCAAGGCAAAAGAAGGAAGCCGTCTCCACTCCGCGGCCTTGCGCTCGTGCATTCCGATGCGCGGCAATATGGTGCAGTGCACTCCCTCCCTGCGCCGCCTTTACTTAGATTTTACAAACTTCGGGCAGCCGCGTGGGCAGAGATGTTGTGCACTCTCTCTTCCCTCGCCAGACCGTAAACTTGAAAAAACCCCTGCGCATCTTCAAACATTCGCCCACCGCTCCGGCACGCAATCTCCAGGCGCACACTAGCGAGGGGTGGAGGAGTGGCGGCTTTTCCCCACAACGCTGCACCTTTCTTCCCAGATGACCCGGGGGCGCAGCGCGTCCTTCACAGTGGAGTGGCTTCCTCACAGCGAGCGGGCGGTACTCTCCAGTCCGCCCCCCCTACTCTCATCCCTACCACCTCCGCCGCCGAGCCAAGCCAGCGTGGGAACGGGGTCCGACGTGTGCGGCATGGAGAACAGCGCGGCCCGCCTGCCCGGGCCAGGGAGCCTCCTGGCTTTCCTCCCTCCCCCATCGGTCCCCGGCTCCGACCTTTCCGCCGGAGCAGCCAAGGAGCCGTGGCGGCTTTGCCGGGCGGCGCGGTTCTTGGGAACAGGAACGGAATGGGCGGGGTGGGGGTGGGGGCGAGGTGAGAGGAGCCCTCGGGGTGCCCTTGCCGCGGCCGGAGCTCGCAGTCCTCTTCCGCCCCCAGTGTAGGGACGGACACTCCAACTCCTGCCTCGCCAGCCTCCCGCCGGCCCGGAGGAAGAATGAAGGCGAGAAGCCGTTTCCCCCACCCCCGCCCCATTTCCGCAGTCTTAGAGCCAGTGTCACAAGTGCTCAGCAATTTCATTAAATGGAACCGGGGGACTTAATCCCCCCCGGTACCAGACCTCACCCAGGGAATATGATATCCGGCTTCGCTCCCACCCACAAACCCCGCCCGGCTTTTCAGACCCGAGGCTGCATTTATCTTCTCAACCTGAGAGGAAAGGGTTTAGAAGGAAATGGGATCGAAAGTGTAACTGGCTGCAATAAATTAAAGAGCCCGCTACTGCCGCTGCTGCTACTGCTGCTTTGGCGGCCAGAACTGAAGAGAGAAGGCGAAATCAGTGTCCTGTAGCCTGCGTTGACTGATGGGACGTCATCGCTTGTATGAAGCAAAGTGTTTGAGGAAATGTTGGAATATTGGGGATTTTGGTTTTTTTCTTTTTGTTTTTTAAAGGACAATAAAAAGAGCTGTCCCTTTGAAATCCAGATATAAAAAATGAAATTCATTAAAATAGAAATACCACCCAGTTCTAATAGACATTTTTTAAAAAGCTTGGCCATCGGCTCCTTTTCTATGCCAAATATCCTACCGTAAACTTAAAATATTCAGTAATTTGGGTTTTTTAAATTTACCTACTAACCTTGCTTAAAACTGCTTTGCACTTAAGAAATATCAGTGACTGAGCTGAAAAATAGCATTCAGGGGCCGTGATGTAGTTTGAGCCTCAAGAAAAGACAGGAAGAGATGTAACAATCACCAAAGTTTCTGCGTAGGAATATAAAGAAGTAGGTGCTGAGATATGATCTCAGGGGGGCTTTCATTTATTATAGACGCTGTATTCACAATAATACAAGACAAAGGTTAAATACAGTAAACATGATAGCCAGTTCTGGAAAGAAATATAAAGCAATTTGACGGGAAGAGAGAAAGTGACTCAAGAACTCCACCAAGGGACAAATAGAGGAAATGACACCCTACATCTCCAACTCTATTGACCTTTCATCTTTTTAAAAAGGATCCTGTATATCCACTTACTTATGTGTAGACATGAATTTGAGGCCTTTCTGATCAATCATTTCTCCAACTACTTTTGGTAAATTTGATACTTTAGTCTTCTTTCTCTAAATAATTTTTCAGAAATGATTGTCCCTTAAACATCATTTCAAATAGTAAATATAACTATGCATAACTATTGTCTTATAGCAAATATGATTTTGATTCTTGGGACTGTGAGAAACTTTAGGCATATTTTGCAGCCTTAAATCCATGCTCATAGTATTAAAATGTGTAGTAGACTGAAATGGCTAAATTATTCATTGCAATAACAGACTTTTTGATAGACATTAAAACTCAGCAGTTTAAATAAGGAAACCACAGATTTCCTTTTAAGCAGGTAATAACTGCTTGCATCAGTGGTATTTACTTGGTCTCCAGCCAAGAAGTAGAACCAGTTGTGCTGTGAAATCATGAAATCAAGTTATACAAAGCTATATACTGCAACATAGCCATAAAAGACGAACACAAGCTAAGAACTAAACTAAATTAATTCGTATTACCTATCGGATAACTATAAAACATTTCCACAAGGCCAATATAAAAACTCTATTTACAAGAAAAAGAAACTCAGGAAAATAATTTTTAAGGGTTTATCTAAATATTAATTCATAGGCTATGTGATTTTCTGATTTAAAAAGAGTGTTTTCAGTTTTCAAATGACATTTGATAGAAATGATTTTCACTTTAAGCTTAGCACAGATTGACAGGTGATTTTTTTCAATTTCTTAAGTTTGCTTTATATATAAAGAGTTAGCCGGTTACTCTACGCGGCAAACACATTGTCTTTTACAAAATAATTTACAGGGTTTTTTTCCATCTTTACATTAATTTTTATACATTTACATAAATCTAAGTTCGGGTCCAAAACACAGCAATTTTGCAAAATCCGGGTGAGTTTTTGGGTAAAGACCCTTGATAAGTCAAAATAGTATATCCTATTATTTGTGGCCATCTGAAGCTGTTCCCTGTCTCTGTCTATGGTAAAAATGAACATTCCAATGCCCTTTGCAGCATGAACTTGAGATATTTGGCATTTCTTTACTACCATGGCAGCATATGTCAAATG